CGGTCCTGTTCCCGCTTCTCCCTACCCACGGCCGGCCCGGAAAGCGGCCCCGAACCGAGCCCGAGGCTCCGGGACCCGCCGAGGCCGCAGCCGCCATCTTCATCCGCTCTGCGAACTACAGCCAAATCGCTCCGCACTGCGCCTGCGCCGGACACTTCGCTTTCCCTCGACCCGCCTCTGGCCGCGGGGCACCACGGGATTGCAGTTCTCCGGGCGGGACGCAGGGGTGCGCTTTGTGAAAGGTCGGACTACGCTTCCCGGCAGCCACCGCGGCGCCAACCCAATCCTGCAGGGCCACGGGACGCCATGGGGGCTGTAGTTGTGCACCTGCGCCAAGCGCGGAGCCCAGCAGAAGTACAGACTACACTTCCCAGCAGCCACTGCGCACAGAACTGCTCCGTTAGGCAGAGTCGCGGTGTATCATGGGATTATAGTCCTGCATCAAGGACACGGCCAGCGGCAGAGCAAAGAAAGCAACTACATATCCCGGCAGCCCATGCGCCCAGCAACACGCACATAAAGGCGCAAGTCCTTATGGGCGAGTGGTCCTGGAGAAAGGGATAGGCGTCGCTGTCAGTGAATGGTCGGACAACACTTCCCGTCAGCCACCGCGCGGTTTATGGTGAAGAGCGGGACCACGGAGCTTGAGAGGAGGCGGGAACTGTGAAGGGGGCGGAGCAATACGCAGCTGTCAGGATAAAGCACGGGCACGCCTATTGGATGGAAAGCTACAGGGCATCTGAGGACCCCCCCTTCCTTACCTCCCTACACCACCAATCCCGCCATGCAGCGCGGCTTCTAGACTGACAGGGGCTGCTGAGGGGGAGTTTCCCGCCTCTTCCAGCAGCTCCATCTTATGTAACTCTGAGGAAACAACCTCGTACAATGCAAACATTGACACTGTCCTTCATTGTATGTATTTCATGCCACCCTCTGATAATATCAGCAAAATAATACAAATGTGAGCCACTGTAGGAGAAAAAAAACATAGAAAGTAAACAAAAATGAAATAAAATTATACCCTTTATAAGGTGTATCCACAATCACAAAATAACCAAACCTTATCCAGGTATGCGAGGACCTGGAAAAGGGGGGCTTTTTTAGAAACAATGTTGCTCTCGCAATGAACTTTATGTATAATAAAACAATTTATTATTCACAAAAGATTAAAAACAAAATATGTTGTCACGAATACAAGACTTGGTACAAAGATACACTATATGACCAAAAGTATAGGGACACCCCTCCGAATCATTGGATTTGCTACTAAATATTCCGCGGTCACCTGTTACTGGGATTATAACAAAGTGGAAGCAACCGGGAACAACAGCAACTCAGCCAGGAAGTGGTCGGCCACGTAACATGACAGAGCGGGGTCAGCGCATGCTGAAGCGCACAGCGCGCAGAAGACACCAACTGTCTGTGGTTATTCTGTGATTGTCAATACATCTATATTAGTGGGGTGTGAAACTTTGCTCTCCTTTTTTCTAACGTGCACCCAAAAGTGTTGAAATTATATATATATACTGCAGGAAGTGAGATCTGGGGGTGCCATTACAAAATAAAAGCACCCACCAGCGCCATCGGTGCACACCTAGGCGACTCCTGACCGCGTAGTAATCCGTGCGGAATCGTGCACGATTGCCGCGCGGTTAGGTGTCGCCTATGTGTGCACCGGCCCTAAAATTAACACCTCGGCAGTTCAAAGCTAAGGCCCCATTCGCGATATCGCGGATATTTACCGCGCGATATCGCTCTCCAATGCATGGCAATGGGGCTCTGTCCGTCGCTGTCGCGGGTCGTGCGTCGCTACAGCAGGACCCTTTTTGGAGTGGATTTTGCCGCGATTCTAGTTTGCTCAATGCAACCATTTGCGCGATATCGCACGACAAACCGCGCGATATCGCGCAAAATGCAAATCGCGCGACAAACTCGCGATTAGCGAATCACTCAGTGTGAATGGGGCCTTAGGAGGGAATCTCTGATCCCCGCGGCATTGTCTAGAATTGTTACATTGTATCTTGTTCCACTCCGCTCTGTCTTATCGGGGAGATTCCCCTTCACTTCCTGTCCCGGAGCAACAATCATCGAGTGAGGGGAGGAGAGTTCACTCTGCCCAAAAAGAAGAGAGGGCGTCACAAACCTGGCGGGTTCCCGGCCTCTCCTGATCCGCCCCAAGTGTCAGTGTACGGAATGTTTGAGACAACAAAAATCAGAATACATCTGTAAACTCACAAATGTCGCCATTCCGCAGGTTCAGAGCCACCGTCACATCCACTTCCATCGCTGCGAGGACTTCCCTGGCACCATGTCCAGAATCCAACATGGCGGACTTGAGGACGGCCCATGTACCGCTTCCTCCTATAGAAGGACAAAGACAGCGATAAAAACCTGACAGGGGTTCCCCTTCCCCCCCCCCCCCCCACACCACAAAAAAAACCTACAGCAAAAATCTCAAACAATGTTATCAGAAAGAAGGACGACAGAACACCTCCACCCCATGTTATGGAGATAGGGAGACATGTCCATGGGTGACAACGCTGCTCCATAGATGCAGTATGATATGTATGTATGTATGATCACTAGGGATGCACTGATACATTTTTTTCCAGACCGAGTACGAGTACCGATACTTTTCCTCCCGTACTTGCCGATACCAATTACCGATACCTTTTTTTTAGTGTCATGTGTCAGTTTTTCTGGTGGACTGTGCGGAGTCTTATATGGGCTGTGCAGGGTTTATGGTGGACTGTGCACATTCTATAGTGGGCTGTGCAGACTGTGAGGACTCTCAGGTGGGCTGTGAAGGTTCTTTGGTGGGCTGTGAGGGCTCTCAGATGGGCTGTGCAGGGTCTATGGTGGGCTGTGCAGGGTATATGTGAAGGGTCTATGGTGGGCTGTGAAGGGTATATGGTGGGCTGTGCAGGGTATATGGTGGGCTGTGCAGGGTCTATGATGGGCTGTGCAGGGTATATGGTGGGCTGTGCAGGGTGTATGGTGGGCTGTGCGGAATCTCAGGTGGTGGGCTATTAGGGGTCTATGGTGGCCTGTGCAGGGTCTATGGTGGGCTGTGCGGACTCTCAGGTGGTGGGCTATGCGGGGTCTATGGTGGCCTGTGCGGTCTCACCAGGGGTCCTAGCGGGGGCGAGTGGCTTGAATTCACTGGAAAGGAGGAGGAGATTTGTGGCCTGTACTGTAGTTGCCACAATTCACAGGAAGGGTGTGGGGACCTTGGCAGCCTTCCTGATAACCATGGCCCCTATTTGTTTCAGTGAAAAAATTTTAAACGCCGGTATCGGTGCATCCCTAGTTGTCACCCTAAGACAGGAAGTGCGTTACTGGCAGGATCATAGGTGAAAAAAAAAGGTTAAAAGCCTGAAAAAGGAAAACCAATGCAGCCGCCACATCTGAGTATCGGTAAGTGACATTTTGGTTCTCAGGTTCAGATACGCTGAAACTCTTCTCAACATTTTGGATAGAGCAGGGAAGGGTTCAATCCCCCGCCACATTTACCTTCACATCCTGTACCGCAGATAAAACAGGAAGTGAGAGGAACCCTCCCCAAAGTGAGAGGAAATCCCCTTTAACTACCTCCGGGCCGGCCGTAGTAAAAAAATGGCCGGCCAGGAGCTCTCTCGATCTGAGCGGGCGTCTCTAGACGTCCGCTCAGACACGCCGCGGGAAATGGCCGGAATTTAAAAACGGGCAGCGATGCCCGTTAATATACATGCGATCCGCCGGCTGTAGAGCCGAATTTATTGCGTCATACAACGCCTCCAAAATCACGGGGGGAAAAAACGACCATACCCAAAATTGCCCCCAGGCGACATTTTAAACGTATTTCCTGCTCATCAGTTTACTGTCAACATTGATGGCCCCGGAATTATTGCTGGCACTCCCATGTTCGTGGTGATATGTAACATGTATGACGCAATCGTCGTTATCACACGTGGGCGCACCCAACGTGTTTTTGCCTTTGTGTGTGCGTGTACGTGGCGTGGGGGGGACTTTTTTTAATATGTGACTTTAATTTTGTAAACTTTTAATTCTTTTTTTTTTACACTTAACTTTATTGCCATCACATAGGGGGATAACAATCCCCCTGTGTGACAGAACATGTACATTGACAGGTAGGGATGACCCGATACCGATACTAGTACTTGTACTCGCCCAAATGCTCCCGATGCCTATCCCGATACCAAAACCTCCAGTATCAGGAAGGCAGGGCGGCGAGTTATTACACACTGCCCAGCTTCCTGATTGGCCAGGAAGCCAGCTCCATGCTCCCTCGTCACCAGAGAGCATGGAGCTGGCTTCCCGGCCAATCGGGAAGCCAGAGAGCGGGTAATGACTCGGCACCCGGCTTCCTGTCTGATCCTGATTGGTCGGGAAGCTGGCCAATCAGGAAGCCGGGTGACGTGTCATTACCCGCCCCCCTGGCTTTTTGATTGGCAAGAAAGTCGGCTCCGTGCTTCCTCGTCACCTGGTGACAAGGTCGCATGGAGCCGGCTTCCCAGCCAATCAGGAAGCCGGGCTCCGTGTAATGACTCGCCGCCAGGCTTCCTGAACACTCCGCCTGGCTTCCTTAATGGGACTTCCGGTATTCGGGGAGTACCGGAAAAAAATATCTGCACTCGATGCCGAAAACCTGGTATCGGTGCATCCCTAGTGACAGGTCCTCTTTATGGAGACATCAGGGGTCTAATGTCACATAGGAACCCCAAAGAAGCTGATGAAACAGAGATCGTACGTCACAGCAGCCAGAGAAATGATAGAGTGACACAGGAAGTGATGTAATACACGTCACTTCCGGGTCCAGTGATCAGAGGGGAGATCAGTGGCAGGCAATGTCCCGATCTCCCTCCGATCTAAAAGCACAGACCCGCCGTGCCGGTCCTGAGCCTGCATGGAGGACAGCGGAGCCCGGGATAGCCGGAGGAGGGGGGCGCACACTACCAGCCAACATAGAACCGCCCGATCGCTTGTATGTAATCAGCCATCGCCGGCTGTTTAGAATGCGAACGGTTTCCCGCTCGTGTGCGCACAGAAGGGCCATTTAAAGACGCCCGCTGGCTGCCAATCCCGGCCGGACGGCAAGGGGTGTAACAAAGTAAACATCACCCTTCCATGGTCACTACTGAGAACTAGGAACATCTCTAGAGTACTGCGCCAAGAAATACATATTGGGGGGAATTTATCAAAACTGGAGAAGACAAAGTCTGGGGCAACCGTGCTCGGCAACCAATCAGCTTCTCTCTTCAGTTAAATCAGAACTATGAGGTGAGTGCTTTTCACTCACCTCATAGTTCTAGCCGACCTGTGACAATGAGACTGTCCCAGGTCGGCTCAGTAGATCAGGAGGTGAGCGAACACATACGGGCGTTCGCTCACCTCTCGATCCTGTCACGGCTCTCTGCCGTGACAGGGGAGGGGCTGGATTCCCCCCTCCCCGCTCCGATCCATATCTGTATACATTTACATCTGCCGCAGGGAGAGATATTTATAAAACAATTTGCATATCTTTATTCATCCAGCGAAACCGACGGTACATTCATCCGGTGCGAATTAACCAGCTGTGGTGAGAATGGGGCAAAAACGAATGTTCGCCCCCTATTCTTTTTTTCTTCTGGTCGAATGTTCTTTAACCACTTGCTGCCCGCAGCAATTTCTTACATTTGCCCACACATGATCAAATCTGAATTTTTGGCTAGAAAACCGCTTCAAATATATATATTTTCTGAAAGCAGAGACCCTGTAGAATAAAGAAATGCTAGTTGCAATTTTTTATGTCGCACGGCGTTTGCGCAAATGTTTATCAAAGCGGTATTTTTCGGATAAAAGACACCAACATTACATTTAAAGGAGAACTATGAGACAAGTGATTTCCACTCACCTCTTAGTTCTAGCCGACCTGTGACAATGAGACTGTAACAGATACAGAATATAATACCCAATTTTTGGGTAAAAAATAAAAGACGGGGTCACGTCATGTAAATTGATACCAAACATAGCCGACCTGTGACAATGAGACTGTCAAAGGTCGGCTCAGTAGATCGGGAGGTGAGCGAACACATACCGGCGTTCACTCACCTCTCGAGTTACCAGTGATTAATGGCTCTGGGATTATCACTTGCACTCTGACATGTGCGGCAATATGTAACATGTGTAGCGTAATTTTTGTTTTTGCACGTAGGTGCACCGACGCGTGTTTGCATATGTATGTGCGTGCACGTGGGAGACGGGGGACTTTTTTAAAAAGAAATTTGCATTTAAAAATAAAAAAAATTATGTCACTTTTTTTTTTTAAACACTTTTCTTATTTTTTTTAGAGATGCACCGATACCAGTATTTCGGTACCGAGTACGAGTACCGATATTTTATTTTCGTTACTCGCCAATACCGAATACCGAGTACCGGAAGTCCAATTCAGGAAGCCAGGCGGCGTGTAAAGACTTGCCACCTGGCTTTCCAATTAGCAAGGAAGCTGTCCCCATGCTTCTCGTCACTAGGTGATGAGAAAGCATGGAGCCGGCTTGCTAGGCGCCCGGGTTCCTGATTGCCCAGCTTCCCGACCAATCAGGAACCAGGCAGCGCGTCATTACACTTGTCACGAAAGAGCATGGAGCCGGCTTCCTGGCCAATCAGGAAGCCGGGCAGAGTGTAATGATGCGCTGCCCGACTTCCTGATACAGGACGTATCAGGCTAGGCACGAGTACTCGCCCAAATACTTGGTATCGGCACCGATACGAAGCGCCCAGCTTCCCGACCAATCAGGAAGCCAGGCAGCGCGTCATTACACTTGTGACGAGAGAGCATGGAGCCGGCTTCCCGGCCAATCAGGAAGCCGGGCAGAGTGTAATGATGCGCTGCCCGACTTCCTGATACAGGACGTATCAGGCTAGGCACGAGTACTCGCCCAAATACTTGGTATCGGCACCGATACGCATCCCTAATTTTTTTGACACTAACTCTATTGCTATCACATAGGGGGCTATACCGGATTTATAAAGTGCAAACAATTTGCACAGCGCTTTACAAAATGGAGGGAGATAGTACAGTTACAATACAATTTCAGTACCGGAGGTAGGAGGGACCTGCTCGTGAGAGCTTACAATCTAGTAGGAGGGGCAAGTCATACAAAAAGGTAATAACTGTGAGGGATGAGCTGATGGAAGGGGTAAAGGCAGTTATGTTGAGGTGGAATAGGCTTCCCTGAAGAGATGAGATTTCAGGGATCCCCTAAAGGTGGACAGTGTAGGAGAGAAGCAGACAGAGTGGGGTAGGGAGTTCCAGGGCATGGGGGTACACTCTGGAAAAGTCCTGGAGGTAACAATGGGAGGAGGTGATGAGAGAGCTGGAGAGCAGGAGGTCTTGGGAGGAGTGGAGAGGACAGTTTGGGTGATAGTTTAAGATGAGGAGGGTGATGTAGTCGGTGGCAGAGTTGTAGATGGCTTTGTAGGTTATTGTTAGCATTTTGAATTTTATTCTTTGGGCGAGTGGGAGCCAGTGGAGGGATCGGCAGAGAGGGGCGGTGGACGCTGATTGGTTGGTAAGGTGGATGAATCTGGCAACAGCGTTCATGACAGAATTTTTCGAAATAGTCTAAAAACCTTTCTCCTACTACATTGTAAGCTCTCAGGATCAGGGCCCTCTGAAGCCTATTGTACTGAAATTGTATTGTAACTGTAACATTTTGTAAAGCGCTGTGCAAACTGTTGGCGCCACATAAATCCTGTATAATAATAATCATCATAATAATAATAATAATAATATCACTTTGAAAACTGTGAGTAGTGAATGAGGAAAATACCCTAATATGGCCACTAGATGGCGCTCAGAGGAAATAAATTCATCTTAGAGAGATACAATGTAACAATTCAGATTAGAAGATAAATGTAACCGTTGCTACTATGGAGATCTGTATGTCCTCCTGTGACCGTAAAGAAAAAAAAAATGGGAAAAAAAGGTTACCCCGTAGTTTTTACAAACTTTTTAGGTTTGATAAAGATTTGCGATAATATCGTGCAATGTAAAAATTTGCAACTACAACCATTTTAATCTACAGGGTCTCTGCATTCAGAAAACAAATAATATTTGGGGAGTTTTAAAGTGACATTAAACCCTCAGATTTTTTAACATAAACCAATACTGTAATGTGTGCCTTACTGTAATCCATGGTAGTTTCCCTTCTCTTCCTTTTAAATCCTCATGTCTTCTCATGCTGGGGGAGAACTTCCCTTTGTAGCTCAGTGCCTCTTCCTGTAGTGCTGGCTCAGGTTACAAACCTACACACAGACACCATGTATCCATTCCAGAGACAAGGCAGTCTGCTGCAAAACAGAAGTTCTGCCCAGCATGAGAACAGATACAGATTTAAAAGGAAGAGCAGCAAAGAGAAGGGAAACTAACATGGATTACAGTAAGGCGCACATTACAGTATTGGTTTATGTTAAAAGATCTGAGGGTTTAATGTCACTTTAAGTAGCTTTCAGGCCTAAAATGTAGATTAGAACACGTGTGCAAAAAACCAAGAACAAAAAAGGCCTTGGCAGCGAAAGGGTTAAGACTATTGCGGACAGGAGTGAATGGGGAGAATACCACATTATGGCGCTGAGGATCAGAGGAAATAAATGAATCTTAGTAACAAGAGTTACAATTCTATAGAACACTGGAGGGGATAAGCACATAAATGTAACCATTACTACTATGAGGATCCCTTCAGCACATTTAGTTTCCCCCCATTCCTAACCCTAACAGCTGGTTACAGTGCCACTGAAGCCAACCCCTTTATTTTTTTAGGGAATAAATACATTTTAGTAACAAGAGGTACAAAGTAACAATTCTACAGACCGCCGGAGAGAATTAGCAGATAGGTGTGAACTTTGCCTTTAAAGGAGAACTATGAGGGGGGAGTGCTTTTCACTCACCTCATAGTTCTAGCCGACCTGTGACAATGAGACTCTCCCAGGTCGGCTCAAAAACCAATACTGTAATGTGTGCCTTACTGTAATCCATGGTAGTTTCCCTTCTCTTCCTTTTAAATCCTCATGTCTTCTCATGCTGGGGGAGAACTTCCCTTTGTAGCTCAGTGCCTCTTCCTGTAGTGCTGGCTCAGGTTACAAACCTACACACAGACACCATGTAACCATTCCAGAGACAAGGCAGTCTGCTGCAAAACAGAAGTTCTGCCCAGCATGAGAACAGATACAGATTTAAAAGGAAGAGCAGCAAAGAGAAGGGAAACTAACATGGATTACAGTAAGGCGCACATTACAGTATTGGTTTATGTTAAAAGATCTGAGGGTTTAATGTCACTTTAAGTAGCTTTCAGGCCTAAAATGTAGATTAGAACACGTGTGCAAAAAACCAAGAACAAAAAAGGCCTTGGCAGCGAAAGGGTTAAGACTATTGCGGACAGGAGTGAATGGGGAGAATACCACATTATGGCGCTGAGGATCAGAGGAAATAAATGAATCTTAGTAACAAGAGTTACAATTCTATAGAACACTGGAGGGGATAAGCACATAAATGTAACCATTACTACTATGAGGATCCCTTCAGCACATTTAGTTTCCCCCCATTCCTAACCCTAACAGCTGGTTACAGTGCCACTGAAGCCAACCCCTTTATTTTTTTAGGGAATAAATACATTTTAGTAACAAGAGGTACAAAGTAACAATTCTACAGACCGCCGGAGAGAATTAGCAGATAGGTGTGAACTTTGCCTTTAAAGGAGAACTATGAGGGGGGAGTGCTTTTCACTCACCTCATAGTTCTAGCCGACCTGTGACAATGAGACTCTCCCAGGTCGGCTCAGTAGATCGGGAGGTGAGAGAACACATACCGGCGTTCGCTCACCTCTCGATCCTGTCACGGCTCTCTGCCGTGACAGGGGAGGGGCTGGATTCCCCCCCTCCCCGCTCCGATCCTCCAGCGCTGCCTGGCGGAATGGACAGGGGAGGGGGCGGGTACAGCTGGCTCTGCCTCTAGATAGGCAGAGCCAGCTGTCACTCACGCAGCTGGGCGGATCCAGACATAGTTGTCGGGATCCGATTCAGCGTCTCAGTATACCGTGAGCTGTAGCTCGCGGTATACTGCGGCGTCTCAGCTGTAGCTGGCGGAATACTGAGCCTAGGGTGACGGGAGGACGCTAGTTTGTGTCCTCTCGTTAACCTAAGGAGAACTATGGGGAAAAGCCCTAACCCCATAGTTCTCCTTTAAGGCTTTTCCCTCTTCTAGCCGAATGTTCTTCAGATATTATAAACGGTAGAGAATTGGGAAACAACCTCATTATGGCCACTAGAGGGCGCTGAGGATCAGAGGAAATAAATACATCTCAGCAACAAGAGATATAATGTAACAATTCTAGAGAGCGCTGGAGGGAATTGGCAGGTAAATGTAACCATTGCTACCATGGGGATAGCTTAAAGTGACATTAAAGTCAATTTTTTTCCCCTCCCCCAAATTTTGGGGTCAGCACTTACCGTAAATGATGTATATATATATATATATATATATGCAAAAACACCGGAAGGTTCAATAACCCTTTAAGGCTTTTTCCTCTTCTGGCCAAATGTTCTTGAGATATTATGAGCGGTAGTGAATTGGGAAACTACCTCATTATGGCCACTAGGTGGCGCTGATGATCAGAGGAAATAAATACATCTCAGCAACAAGAGATACAATGTAACAATTCTAGAGAGCGCTGGAGGGAATTAGCAGGTAAATGTGACTATTGCTACTATGGGGATCCCTAAAGAACATTCGATTTTGCTCCATTCATAGAACAGAGTGTTATTCTGCAACGAATGTAAATGCAGTTTCATTGGGCGAATAGCTCTGCAATCTTTTTTTTTAAATAGCCGGCATAGTCTTACAGAGCAGAACTCCAAACCAAGTACATCTTCCTCATTGGTCCATCCCTAAATCACATGACCAGTTTCTTAATTATAGAACATGCAACAAATTCCCATTTAACACAGGACAAGCCATCATCCCGTGTCATCATATGGAAATATGTATCACTAAGCGCCGGATTTTCTGTCTATCAGTATTTCCATAGTAACGTGCGTTGTCAACACACATTGCACTATGACGCACGTCATAATACACATCACTGCGTTATGATGTGCGCCTATTGCTTTCAATGGAAAATGCATCAAGCAAAAATGCAAAGGTTTGAATCCAACCTTTGAGCTGTGAACTGCACCCCAACGCACTTTGCCGACGGACACTAACGCGTGTTGAGCTGCGCTCCCTAAAATGCTGCCTTTTAGGCTATTATGACGCACTATGATGTGTGTCATAATACACATCACTGCGTTATGATGTGCGCCTATTGATTTCAATGGAAAATGCATCAAGCAAAAATGCAAAGGTGTGAATCCAACCATCAAGCTGTGAACTGCACCCCAACGCACTTTGCCGACTGGACTAACGTGTGTTGGGGTGCGCTCCCTAAAATGCTGCGTTTTGGGCTCCCTTAATACGGGGCATAACGTGCATGCGCTAACGCACTGCAACAGTATGAATGGGCGCATTTACACCGCGCCTGGTAGGCTGCCGAGGCTGATTCTGATAGGTCCAGTGAACACCAGCACGCTACGTCGATGCGCGTTTGGTGAAAACGGAAAAGGTTGCATTTAAATGCAGCAAGAAAAACTGCATGGCAACGCAGCGTGCTGCCGCATATAGCGAGGAAAACAAAAATCATGTATTTTGGCTTCTGCTCTGCAAAAAAAAATGCCCATCAACGCTACAATGCGCTAAAAAAAAGCGCTCCCTAAACACAAGGCAATCACAAATGAAATAACAAAAACATGCATGCTGTGCATCCAGACTTTCTGCCCTCTGCAGAAATGTATACTAGAATTATATATCATTTTCAGCACATGCAATAATATAAACCCATTCTGCATCATATAATAAGGGATCTATATTGTATATATTATATATATCTATACACACACACACCACAATTCTTTTCTCCATGAACACTAAAGTCGGTACGACATCTACAAAACAAATCTAAACACACATTTGTATATTATCAGTGACGGGCTGATATTGGCATTCCCCACCTCTGTATGATGACACCCCAAGCCTGGGCAGCTTTTCCCTCACTCTTGCCCCACACAAAGATGGCGGCGGGGCGCTGCCTCCCGGCACGTTGCATCCGACGTCACGACGCACTGGGAATCGGAAGTGACGATCTCGCCGAGCGCCCGGACAGTCTAGAGGAGTGTACGGGACGGGGAGAGAGCCGGAGAACCGAGAAGATGGCGGGGAAGAGCGGGGAGGAGAGGTTGAAGGAGATGGAGGCGGAGATGGCGCTGTGAGTTTTACAGCTGGCGCCCCTTTTGTCCAAGCTGGCTCCTCTCTAGGGCTGTTGTTCTAGGGTGGTTGCTGTGCACACCAGCTTCCTGCTCATCACCAAATCTGTCAGTGTTTTGTAAACCAGCGTCTATCCCCAGTACACCAAGCTTTCTGACCCCATTTAAAGCTGTCTCAGTGGGGGAAGCATTAATCCCCAGTACACCAAGCTTCCTGCCCCCATTTACACCTGTCTCAGTGGGGGAAGCATTTATCCCCAGTACACCAAGCTTCCTGCCCCCATTTACATCTGTCTCAGCGGGGGAAGCATTTATGCCCAGTACACCAAGCTTCCTGCCCCCCATTTACATCTGTCTCAGTGGGGGGAAGCATTTATCCCCAGTACACCAAGCTTCCTGCCCCCCATTTAAAGGAGAACTATGAGGTGAGTGCTTTTCACTCACCTCATAGTTCTAGCCGACCTGTGACAATGAGACTGTCGCAGGTCGGCTCAGTAGATCGGGAGGTGAGGGAACACATACCGGCGTTCGCTCACCTCTCGATCCTGTCACAGCTCTCTGCCGTGACAGGGGAGGGGCTGGATTCCACCCTCCTCGCTCCGATCTGCCAGCGCTGACTGGCGGAACGGACGGTGGAGGGGGCGGGTACAGCTGGCTCTGCCTCTAGATAGGCAGAGCCAGCTGTCACGAAGCTGGGCGGATCTCGACATCGATGTCGGGATCCGCTTCAGCTGCGGGTCTCAGTATACCGTGAGCTGTAGCTCCCTATATACTGAGCCTAGGGTAACGGGAGGACGCTAGTTTGTGTCCTCCCGTTACCCTAAGGAGAACTATGGGGAAAAGCCCTGACCTCATAGTTCTCCTTTAAAGCTTTCCCAGTGCGGGACGCATTTATCCCCATTACACCAAGCTTCCTGCCCCCCATTTAAAGCTGTGGGGGAAGTATTTAGTGTGTGCACATAAGGTTCATAATTGCTGCCAAAGCTGTGTTATGGGGCGGGGGGGAAGCATTTATCCCATGGGCACCAAGTTTCCTGTTTGTTCCCAAAGCTTAAGAGGAAAAGTTTTTATTCTAAGCAACTTGCTCCCCAGCAGTGCTCAGTCTTGCTTGTCCATGGCGGTGGGGGAAGAACATATCCGGCACGCACCAGATATCCTGTTTAACTCCAAAGCCTTGCACTAAGGCACCGCGCGTGTGTCAATGCATTGTGGCGCACAACAGTGCAAGTGCCTGAATTTGACCTGCTATCAGCCTCTTGCAGCCTTTGAAAAGCAGAGCTCAGACTGCCGGAGGGAGAAGCAGCACAATTAATCAATTGGTTGTGCTGCAGTGCGAGGAGCATGTTGATAGGAGGAGAGAGAGCAGAGGGATGAACTCATCAGCCTGCTGTTTCTCCTTTTACTGTCCAATCACAGGCTGGGGGAGGGACATGACCTGTAAGTGTTACTGAACTGCAGCAGAGAAGGAAAAAAATTCCCCGTGGTGGAACGCTGGTATTCTGGCCCCGGAGCTGTGCACCATTGCATGGCAGAGCAGCGGTCCGGATTTCCTGAAGTTGCATTTCGATCGGCTTTCATTTGTTTTTCTCCCTTTTAGGTTTGAGCAAGAAGTATTGGGAGCGCCAGTCGCCCTGCCGCCGGGAGACGCCGTCCCGCTGCCCGTTCCGTTGGCCATACCGACAGTGCCGGCGGTAGCGGCTGTTCCTGTTGTCCCCACCGTGTCGGCTCTTCCCGTTGCACGTCCCGTAATAGCTACGAACACCTACAGCCAGGTGAGTGGGGCGACGGGTGTGCCGGGCCGGACTTGTGTTCAACCAAATCCTCTTCTCGGTCTACAAACTTCGTCTTGGTTTACCACCCGCAGGTGCAGCAGAGCCTGGACGCCAGAGCGGCCGCGGCAGCCATTGTCGTGGGGCCCATGATGGTTCCTCCCATGCCGTTTGTCGGACCAGGTAAGAGTGTTTGGCGAGGCATCAAGTCAAGGATATAAAGCCTTCTTCCTCTCTCTCCTCCTCCTTTCCCCCCCCTCCCCTTTCTTTTCTCCTCCCCTTTCTTTTCTCCTCCCCTTTCTTTTCTCCTCCCCTTTCTTTTCTCCTCCCCTTTCTTATCTCCTCCCCTCTCCTCTCTTCTTCTTTCTTTAGTTTACACATCACTTTGTGTACTGTAGATTCAAATTCATCCCTCCCCGCCCTCAAGGAGCGTACAATCTAAGGTCCTTATTTCACATGGATAAATAGACTTACTAGGACCAATTTAGACATCCCTTTGGAGTGTGGGAATAAAACCCAGAGAACATGCAAACTCCATGCAGATATTGTCCTGGCCAGGATTTGAACAGAGGACCTCAGTGCTCCAAGGCACTTCATGTGTTAGTTGATAAATAGGACGCTGTCAGGGAACCTTTTGATTGTCATCCTTCTACTTATTTCACAATTGTTATTCCGGGCTCAGTCTTTTCTCTCCTTCACCTGCAGCGATTCCGCCCCCGAGGCCCCCAGTGATGAGACCCAGTTTTATCCCCCATGCGTTGCAGCGACCGCTTGATCCCCGACCATCCTTCATCCCCCACGTCCTGCAGCGAGCACGTACGTATTCATCTCGCCGATCATTTATTAGTCCGGTTACACTGACTCGCCTTTGATTGGCTTTTACATCTGATTTCATTTTGTTGCAATGGACGCTTTGTTTTTCTTTACATCTCCGATATTATTTATTGTAGAGGTGCACCGAAATGGAAATGTTAAAAACGAAACCGAAATAAAATACATTGTCAAACCAAAAATGTTTTTTTATTTTAATTTTTTTGAATGTTTTATTCATTTGAACTTTTTAATTTTTATATATATATTTTTTATTTATGAATTCGTTTTTTATTAAATATTTGTATTTACTTTTAGGGGCTTTGGGGGAAATATTAGGGGATCTAAACAGACGCCTGATATTTCCTTTTAAAATAGAAAAAGTGATTGAGAACACCAAGTCCTCAATCTCTTTTTCTGTATCCCCTGTTATCAATGAGCAGGAATCCTCTATACTGAGAGTGTTCCTGATCATTGATAACATGAGGACAGAGTATGTTTACTATAGCTACAACTATGAATGAACAGGAAGTGATGTAGATCACTTCCCATTCATTCATAACTGAGGATATAGTAACCGTACTCTGTCCTCAATTATGTGCAAACACTCAGCGATCACTGATCACATGACTCCTTGTACCCGCTCTCCTCTCTGACACGCTGTCACAGGAGGCTGAGCGAGCGGTGCGGGAGGAGAGCTCAGCCTCCTGTGATAGCGTGACCTGTCTCTGCCCACACACCGCTCTGCCGGACTGTGATAGGAGGCTGAGCGGTGTGGAAGGAGATGCCGGCCGCTCACAGCGCTCTCCTCCCGCAGCGCTCGGCCGGCTGTCACACTTTCTCCTCCCCACCGGGACACAGAGCAGCGCCCAGCGGGGAGGAAAGAAAGCTGGGATGCATCGGCAGGAAAATGGCACTTTCGGCCGATATATATCGGTGCATCCCTAATTTCTTGTATTTGGTTAACCCTTTAGCCACTTTTCTTTGCAACGGGGGCAGCAGTAAATATGCAGGCCCCAGGATCTGTGGCCCTCACAGACCACGCCTGTACTTCTCTCCTCCACTACATTATGGTGACAGCACAATATTTGCTTCTGTTGAATTAACACGTGTTTGGTAGATGAGCAGATTATTGCACACGGAGCTTATAATACCAAACATGGTACATTTTTCTGTGTTTTTTATTCTACTATGTCTCATTTATCTTCTTTCAATAACAGCGGGCCCTCGGCATCCATGCATGCCTCCTCCTCAGCCATTGATGTCTCATCCAATGCATGGTCCTCCTCCGATGATGCCGCCTCCCCCTATGGCGATGCGCCCCGGCCCTCCGGTCAGTCTCGAGCCCCTTTTTGTTGCCCTGTTCTCATGTTCTATAGATTTGTGGTTGTGCTTTGGGTTAAAGATGACCTCCAGTCTGTACATTTATTTCCCCCCCTAAGCCTTCCTTTCTACAACAGCCAATGCTATGAATTTTCACTGTCCCTGGCCCCCATTGTTTTTTTTCCCCCCAGTGACGTCATAATTTCCATTGATAAAGTACTCTGTCTAGGGAGAGATCATGACTTTGGCCTTACGAGGCGTTGCGCCGGCAGGGCTCCCGGGGGCCGAGGCGTTGCGCCGGCAGGGCTCCCGGGGGTCGAGGCGTTGCGCCGGCAGGGCTCCCGGGGGTCGAGGCGTTGCGCCGGCAGGGCTCCCGGGGGTCGAGGCGTTGCGCCGGCAGGGCTCCCGGGGGTCGAGGCGTTGCGCCGGCAGGGCTCCCGGGGGTCGAAGCAAAGGCTCTCGGAGAACGCAGGGGTTGGTCAGTGGGCGTTGCTGGGTGCGATGGCGTCACCACTGTAATCTCTGGAATTAAAGTGAGGAGTACAAACGAGATAGCAATTGACAGGAAGTGGCTGTGCGACTCTTATTGTCAGATGCTCGGCATTGATTGGACCCCCCGAGGGATTCTTTTCATTGTGACTGCGCACAGGTTGGGGGATTTTTGGGAAAATTAAAAATCAGGACTGTGTCGGTGAGGAAATTGGCCGCTATACTTTCTTTAAGCAAAGTCTGACTTCCGCTTCCAGAGTTCCAATGTAATCTTTTTTGCTTCTGTTTGCAGCCGCCACCGGTGGGCCCTCTGCCCCCCCCTCCTCCTCCTCGTCCGGTGGTTCAGTCGTCTCCTAAAATGAACCCCTCGGTCATCCAGGCTGCCCCCACAGTCTATACGGTTCCTCCAGTACGGAAAGTCGAGGTAAGCAGTGCTGCAGTTGGCTTTGGACAGCGCGTCCCCTCCTCTTCTGTCAGAACCTCACGGTGACGTGTCTCCTTTAGGAGGAAGTACCGGAAATCCCACCGGTAGCCGACAGCAAGGACCTGAGCTACGAGGAGACTGTGATTGGACCCAGCATGCCGGAGATTGAGCCCGTACAGCCCGAGGTGAGGCCCGGCCATTGGCATAGCTTTACAACCGTTTCACAATCTCGTTTGGGTAACGGCAGCGTTTTCCCTGCAGGTGGTGCCGGAGCCGGTCCAGGAGGACAAAAAGAAGTCAAAGCCGGAGAAGATGAAGCGGTGCATCCGAACTGCCGCCGGGACAAACTGGGAGGATGCGAGCCTCCTGGAATGGGACAATGGTGAGTCTGAGTGAAGGACGTCTCTTTTGTGTAGGTCAGGCAGTACAGTCAGCATTATCGCTGAACAAGAAAATTTATCAGGGGATTTGTTTGCGCTCCCGGGCGTCACAGCATGTTTTTGTCTCGCAGACGATTTTCGAATATTCTGCGGAGACCTGGGGAACGAGGTGAACGACGACATCCTCACGCGGGCCTTCAGCCGATACCCTTCTTTCCTGAAAGCCAAGGTGATCCGAGACAAGAGGACGGGAAAGACCAAAGGCTACGGCTTTGTCAGCTTCAAGGATCCCAATGACTATGTCCGGGCCATGAGGGAGATGAACGGTAAGGGGAGGATTTTATAACGGGGGGTGTCTATGGTGCCAGCTTACAGAAGGGGGTCTTGATATTAGGGATGCACCGAGTATTTGGGCTCGTACTCGGCCAAATGCTCCGATTCTTACCCCCGATACTGGAACTTCCGGTCAGAGGGAGATTTCCTCTGACTGGCAGTGCTGTGTGTAAACATGGAGCCTGCTTCCTGGCCAGTCAGGAGGCCGGACCGCGGGTAATGACTAGCCGGGAAGCTGGCTCGATGCTGTTTGGCCGGGAAACCGGCATCCCAGCCAATCAGCATGGAGCCGGCTTCCAGGGCCAATCAGGAAACCAGCCAGTGGGTAATGGCTTCCTGATAAATTCCTGATTGGCCGGGAAGCTGGCTCGATGCTGATTGGCTGGGATGCCGGCTTCCCAGCCAATCAGCATGGAGTCGGCTTCCCGGGGACTCGAGAAGACAGCAGGTAATGACACGCTGCCCGGCTTCCTGATTGCCAAAGAAGCCAGCTCCACGCTACCGGTATCCGTACTCGGTATCGGTGAGTACCGAAATATAAATATCGGTGCTCGATACCGAAAAACCGTTACTGGTGCATCCCTAGTTTATATGGTACCAGCTTTGCAGAAGGGTGCGTGAAGGTGTGCTGGGGAGAACTTACAGAAGGTTGCCTTTTTAATATCACATGGGCATTGTCTGACTCCTTTATGGTCACATGGGCATTGTCTGATTCCTTTATGGTCACATGGGCATTGTCTGATTCCTTTATGGTCACATGGGCATTGTCTGATTCCTTTATGGTCACATGGGCATTGTCTGATTCCTTTATGGTCACATGGGCATTGTCTGATATCTTTATGGGCACAGTCTGATATTTTTATGGTCACATGGGCATAGTCTGATTCCTTTATGGTCACATGGGCATAGTCTGATTCCTTTATGGTCACATGGGCATAGTCTGATTCCTTTATGGTCACATGGAATTGTCACATGTGCATTCTCTGATGTCTGTATGGTCACATGGGCATTGTCTGATTCCTTTATGGTCACATGGGCATTGTCTGATATCTTTATGGGCACAGTCTGATATTTTTATGGTCACATGGGCATAGTCTGATTCCTTTATGGTCACATGGGCATAGTCTGATTCCTTTATGGTCACATGGGCATAGTCTGATTCCTTTATGGTCACATGGGCACAGTCTGATATCTTTATGGTCACATGGGCACAGTCTTGATATCCTTATGGTCACATGGGCACTGCCTGATATCTTTATGGTCACATGGGCACTGCCTGATATCTTTATGGTCACATGGGCATTGCCTGATATCTTTATGGTCACATGAGCACAGTCTGATATCTTTATGGTCACATGAGCACAGTCTGATATCTTTATGGTCACATGGGCACAGTCTGATATCTTTATGGTCACATGAGCACAGTCTGACATCTTTCTCACCCTCCAGGTAAATACGTGGGCTCACGCCCCATCAAGCTTAGGAAGAGTATGTGGAAGGATCGTAACATCGATGTGGTGCGCAAAAAACAGAAGGAAAGGAAGAAGCTCGGCCTGAGATAGTCTGAGACTACATGGGACTGTAAGAATCCCGCAGGCCCGGCTCCCTCTGGCTGTTACCCACAATCCCCTGCGCGGGCTGAGATCTGGTTTACGTCCGTTGCAGATGATGTCACCCCGTGACCCGTTTTCCTTTTATAGCGAGCCGTGTGAAGATCTGCTGGCAAGTCTGATGCAGAGAGATGTTTGTCCCTTTTCTTTGTTTTACCCCAAACTTTATTTTACATTTCTTTCTCCCGATCCGAATAAAATCCAATTTTATTTTTAAAGCCCTGGCAAGCAGTTATCACCGACCGCCGCCCCCCTTATATTATGAAACACAAATGTTGATTTACTTGGCTGCGTCGCTTTGATATGAGCATTTTGCAGACCCACGGTCTGATTGGATGGCCGCTAGGGGGGGAGGAGTCAGCAGGGGGGCTGCATCGCTTTGATATGAGCATTTTGCAGACCCACGGTCTGATTGGATGGCCACTAGGGGGGAGGAGGAGTCAGCATGGGGGCTGCATCGCCTTGATATGAGCATTTTGCAGACCCACGGTCTGATTGGATGGCCGCTGGGGGGGAGTCAGCAGGGGGGCTGCATCGCTTTGATATGAGCATTTTGCAGACCCAAGGTCTGATTGGATGGCCACCAGGGGGGAGGAGTCAGCAGGGGGTGTGCCCTAACGCAGAAGGCTAACAGCGGCTGATTGGATGATGAAGGGGGGAGCTGCCATTATCACTCCTCATTAAGCAAGGCAGCAGTTACAGTAACCATTGCCAGATACAAACTATCCAGCTCTTGGGTGTTTAATACTAAAATTCTGCTCCAGTCTCTCCCGACACCTAATTATTCCCCCATTGGGTGCAGCTATTTTGTTTTGGAACATCATGGAGAAGGTGAGGCCAGTTGGTATCGGTTGCATTATGCGACGTGCCCAGTAGAGGGCGCTGTGCTCTGCAATATATCATTCAGCCATCTGCTCAACCCAGAGTGTGTCCTGCAGCGCCACCTGCAGGTGTGATGGAGCCATTGCATTGGAATAACTGATCCGTATAAGGCTCATTAGAGTTGTATTTCATTTTGCAGGATACAATCCCAAAGCAATTTTCAATGTTTAGCCGAGTTCCCCTAGATTCCCGTCCTCTCTTTTTGTGGCCTGTGTGAAGCGTGTGTCTGGCTGACGTGACCTCGTGTACAGTGTAAATAAAAACGATTTGTGCTATTTTCACATGTCTGTCTGTATACATCTCACAGCGTGCATAAGAAGCTGCAGCACGTCAAATAGAGGCGGCCTCATTTCCTGGATGGAGGTTGTCCAGCATTATCTAACCCTGCTCTCCCCACCTTGACTGTACCTGACCTTCTTTCATTCATTGGATTTCAGTTCTTTCAACCACGGAGGCTCAGCATCACATGCGAGTGTTACCTAGGGCAACCTGCATGCAAATACAGACTGTAGGAACACCCGCTCCTCTAGACTGACACCCACCCATCAAGGCATTTTAATATTTGCATAACTCCTCCCAGGGTCCAGCCCATGCCTTGCATTAGGGATGAGGGTGTTCTATCAAAGATTGTGACTGGGTTGGAACGTGTGACCGGTCACACATTTTAATGTAATCCCACCCACTTTCTCGGGAGTGGAATGTGTGACCAGTCACGTGGTCACACATTTTAACGTAGTCCCGCCCACTTTCTCGGCAGTGGAATGTGACCATTCATGCGGTCACACATTTTAATGTAATCCCACCCACTTTCTCGGCAGTGGAATGTGTGACCAGTCACGTGGTCACACATTTTAACGTAGTCCCGCCCACTTTCTCGGCAGTGGAATGTGACCATTCATGCGGTCACACATTTTAATGTAATCCCGCCCACTTTCTCAATAGTGGAATGTGTGACCAGTCACGCGGTCACACATTTTAATGTAATCCCGCCTACTTTTTCGGCAGTGGACTAGGTGACCGGCAAAAGGTGAAAAATTCCAACGCTTTCTCAGCTGTTCCAGGGCAGATCGGCATCGCAGATGGTATGTGCAGGAGAACCGATCTTCCCTGGAACAGCTGATTGGTCCTGAAATGTCACTTCTATCCGACTTTGTGACTTCGATCTCACATTCCACAAAGTCGGATAAAAGTGACATTTCAGGACCAATCAGCTGTTCCAGGGCAGATCGGTTCTCCTGCACATACCATCTGCGATGCCGATCTGCCCTGGAACAGCTGAGAAAGCGTTGGGATTCTTCACCTTTTGCCGGTCACCTATTCCACCGCCGAAAAAGTGGGCAGGATTACGTTAGAATGTGTCACCAGTCACACATTCTAACGCAGTCACAAACTTTGATAGAACATGGGCTCTTGGGAGGAGTACTGAGGCAGCTGCTGGCCCCTCCCACCAGCCATGATCTGCCCGCATTGCATATGCATAGAAGTGACTCAGTGATGACATCACCCGATCTGAAATAAGTTGTTTTTTTTTTTACTGAAAATAGGTTTTATTTAATTCATTCGCATGTTGACGCGCAGGGAGGGTGCAATCAGAGAAGGCAAAATATCAGCAGATTCAACTTCAGTCTTAAAAGTTCCATACCCAGAATTAGTTTTCTTGCAGAGAGTTGAGTGACAGATTCTAGTTTCTATCCGTTGCCGTCTGTTGCCTGTCGCAGTCATTCTACACATGCCGGTTGCTATGGTAACCGCTTCCCCTTTTCTGAGTTCCAGTTTTTACTAATTGGCCCCAGAGACGGGACTCGGAGAAAGCGAAAGTTTAATGCTGATCTCTTCCAGTCCGTAAAACTATCAATGTCTTATTTTTTTTCCCCACTTCCTCCTTTCTGAACAATTACGTTTATTCAGTAAGTTAAAGTGCAGCCGTGTGTGCGAGCCAATCAGCTGTCGTCTTCACTGACCCTGATCGTAGGGAGAGAGACTACAGTCTCCTTAATGTCTATTATAGAAACACAAATACATGCAGTCAGCGGAAAGTGGACCTGTAGTCTGAGTTCCCGGGTCTGTACACCTGCTGTGCCCATTATGAGGAGCTCCCACCATCCCTGAGCTGAGTTCCCGGGTCTGTACACCCGCTGTGCCCATTATGAGGAGCTCCCACCATCCCTGAGCTGAGTTCCCGGGTCTGTACACCCGCTGTGCCCATTATGAGGAGCTCCCACCATCCCTGAGCTGAGTTCCCGGGTCTGTACACCCGCTGTGCCCATTATGAGGAGCTCCCACCATCCCTGAGCTGAGTTCCCGGGTCTGTACACCCGCTGTGCCCATTATGAGGAGCTCCCACCATCCCTGAGCTGAGTTCCCGGGTCTGTACACCCGCTGTGCCCATTATGAGGAGCTCCCACCATCCCTGAGCTGAGTTCCCGGGTCTGTACACCCGCTGTGCCCATTATGAGGAGCTCCCACCATCCCTGAGCTGAGTTCCCGGGTCTGTACACCCGCTGTGCCCATTATGAGGAGCTCCCACCATCCCTGAGCTGAGTTCCCGGGTCTGTACACCCGCTGTGCCCATTATGAGGAGCTCCCACCATCCCTGAGCTGAGTTCCCGGGTCTGTACACCCGCTGTGCCCATTATGAGGAGCTCCCACCATCCCTGAGCTGAGTTCCCGGGTCTGTACACCCGCTGTGCCCATTATGAGGAGCTCCCACCATCCCTGAGCTGAGTTCCCGGGTCTGTACACCCGCTGTGCCCATTATGAGGAGCTCCCACCATCCCTGAGCTGAGTTCCCGGGTCTGTACACCCGCTGTGCCCATTATGAGGAGCTCCCACCATCCCTGAGCTGAGTTCCCGGGTCTGTACACCCGCTGTGCCCATTATGAGGAGCTCCCACCATCCCTGAGCTGAGTTCCCGGGTCTGTACACCCGCTGTGCCCATTATGAGGAGCTCCCACCATCCCTGAGCTGAGTTCCCGGGTCTGTACACCCGCTGTGCCCATTATGAGGAGCTCCCACCATCCCTGAGCTGAGTTCCCGGGTCTGTACACCCGCTGTGCCCATTATGAGGAGCTCCCACCATCCCTGAGCTGAGTTCCCGGGTCTGTACACCCGCTGTGCCCATTATGAGGAGCTCCCACCATCCCTGAGCTGAGTTCCCGGGTCTGTACACCCGCTGTGCCCATTATGAGGAGCTCCCACCATCCCTGAGCTGAGTTCCCGGGTCTGTACACCCGCTGTGCCCATTATGAGGAGCTCCCACCATCCCTGAGCTGAGTTCCCGGGTCTGTACACCCGCTGTGCCCATTATGAGGAGCTCCCACCATCCCTGAGCTGAGTTCCCGGGTCTGTACACCCGCTGTGCCCATTATGAGGAGCTCCCACCATCCCTGAGCTGAGTTCCCGGGTCTGTACACCCGCTGTGCCCATTATGAGGAGCTCCCACCATCCCTGAGCTGAGTTCCCGGGTCTGTACACCCGCTGTGCCCATTATGAGGAGCTCCCACCATCCCTGAGCTGAGTTCCCGGGTCTGTACACCCGCTGTGCCCATTATGAGGAGCTCCCACCATCCCTGAGCTGAGTTCCCGGGTCTGTACACCCGCTGTGCCCATTATGAGGAGCTCCCACCATCCCTGAGCTGAGTTCCCGGGTCTGTACACCCGCTGTGCCCATTATGAGGAGCTCCCACCATCCCTGAGCTGAGTTCCCGGGTCTGTACACCCGCTGTGCCCATTATGAGGAGCTCCCACCATCCCTGAGCTGAGTTCCCGGGTCTGTACACCCGCTGTGCCCATTATGAGGAGCTCCCACCATCCCTGAGCTGAGTTCCCGGGTCTGTACACCCGCTGTGCCCATTATGAGGAGCTCCCACCATCCCTGAGCTGAGTTCCCGGGTCTGTACACCCGCTGTGCCCATTATGAGGAGCTCCCACCATCCCTGAGCTGAGTTCCCGGGTCTGTACACCCGCTGTGCCCATTATGAGGAGCTCCCACCATCCCTGAGCTGAGTTCCCGGGTCTGTACACCCGCTGTGCCCATTATGAGGAGCTCCCACCATCCCTGAGCTGAGTTCCCGGGTCTGTACACCCGCTGTGCCCATTATGAGGAGCTCCCACCATCCCTGAGCTGAGTTCCCGGGTCTGTACACCCGCTGTGCCCATTAT